CGGCGCCGCTCCTGGTAGGAGCTTCAGAAAATCAAACTAGGTCAGTTCCGGTGAACAAACCCTTTTCTTCTATATGACCGTTGCCACACTTTTGCGGTCGCCCGCTGATCATGTACCAAAACTGCGGAGATTTCGATCCAAAATTGAAAGCAATGGCAATGCCAAATAATGAATACCGACACTCAATTCAGGCCACTGTCACGCGCCCATTTAGTGCATCGAGAGGCGGCGCTACCATTCATCATGGAACACCCTATCTTGGTTTGAAATTCTAGTCCTCCCGGCACTGAGTCCGCTACCTGTAGCCACTTCACAAAATTCCTATAAATCCCACCAGTGATGCCCACATGTTCACACTGGATTCTGGAAATAAAATAGCTTCAAAAGGCATTCAGCTTGGAACAGCTATAAAGAACGATGGCGAGATTCAGCTCCAAAATAATTGGATCAGATACGTGGAATTTAATTAGATTTATCTGTTTACTGAACTTATTTGACCAGATTGCATTTTTATTGATATTAGAAGTCGCTGTAAGCACGTTCAAAAGCATGTCTTGGTAAGAGCGCGAGTATTTTGGCTCCTAATTTTGGTCCCAAAATCACACGGTCAGTGCACACATTGGCAGACGTTCTACACAATTTCAAGCATATTTCAGTAAAATAGGTACAAGCATTGAAAAGAACGATAAATGTGCCTACAGCATCAGCAGAATATAAAGGCAACAGGCGAAGGGTCGAAAAGAATGAATGCGGGCGCCACAGAGTCGACAGGTGTGGCAAGGGGTGTTGCGAATGGGCCAAACCCGCTCCCCTTGACATAAAAGGGTCAAACTGCTTTGAGAGGGTGGTAAGTACGCACACCAGAAATATGGGGCAGGTGCTGCAAGCCACGTGCTGACCGCTACCAGCTCCGTGGGCTCGGTTTGTTTGACTCTCGTAAGTCTGTACAACTGCCCCGTTTCTAATGCACGGAGTAATTGGCTAGACATTTCAATTTATAAAAAGTGGCTTATGACATTATGAAATTGTGTGTACAGTGGGGTCGTGAGCGAGCTAAAATACTCTTTTTGCCACTCCTCTCAGCGCCCACATCCGGCAGCACACTTGCTCGGAAGCCCACCTACCTCCCTAAAGAACATGCGCACGTGCGTCGACATAATCATGTCCTGCCCTGGTGGGCGCCGCGCGCCCTATGTTCTCTGATGCAACCAGATCCTTCAACAGATTCCAAAGATGGTCTGGAGAGGGTTTTCATGTTGTACGTGAAGCTGCAACATAAAGCGCCTCTCCGCTCATGTTGAGCATTCCTCACTGTGACTACACCGAAATTTGTTGCTAATACTCCGCCATCTCCATGATCACAGGAGTGTGTTGATTTCCGACTCATTTTACACGGAATGGCATGACCTTTTCTTGCCAGCAGCTTTTGTCGGAATAGATATTTGTTTGGTTTGCCAAGGTTGTGCCCTTTGCGGGGCTGGCCTTTGTTCAGCAAGCGACGTTGTAAGTTCCAATGCCAAAGGAGAAGCTTACTGGCTTACTGGCACGGCCAGCGCGGTGCCCCAGCTGGGGCAACTTCTTTGAATCTGCAGGTTCAAAGAAGAGGAAACCGGTTGCAATCTTATTAGTCAATCATTCGACCCGATCCTGTGTTTTCCCCCTGTGCACGTTGCAGACCCGGATTGCTTCCCGTGATGTCGCAGCTGGGATACAGTAATCACAGGCTACTGTCCCCCAGATGATCGTCGGTGTTGGGGATGGATGGCGACCAGAATCACCGGTCATCTCACATCACGGTACCCACCGATCTACGTCCATTGTGCGTCTTGACGATATAAACGGATCGACGTCTAATGCACCAGCATGCGCTCCAGAACACCTGGAGGCCATCTCAGAAAAAAAGGCCGTGCTGTCTGTCGCCCCACAGACCAGCAAGACGCATGAAGTGAACGCACAATGGTGCCAATACAGCCGAACTCAGAGCACTGCCCCAAAAGGGGCCTTGGATGACTCGCGGTGGGAACGGCCTGCGGCCATGCCAATTTCACAGCTCCCCCCCAACGCACAACGGCAGGTCTCGTTGCCCACACACAGACGTCGGTGCGGAGAAAATGAGCGGTTCGGGGAATCGAAAACAAACAAATACTTCCGCAAGGCTCTTTCAAATTGTACACTGAATAAGCTTTGTTCCGTTCTTCATGTCCCACCGGAATCGGTTGCACCCTGCGCCTGCCTATCTCCTCCACGTTTCTACACCTGGGATCCCATAGGACTGTCTCTCATTGATTGCAAGCAAGAAAACACGACGCCGATTTCACATTCGTGGCTGTGTTCTCATACAACTGCTCGAGTTATTGACGGCGTTAGTCTTACACATGTAAATGATGGTGCCGATCTTGGCAAATATCGCTAGAATGTTTCCGATGCCGATGCTGCATAGCCCTTGACAAACCACACGGCTACAGCCACAGCCTCATGACACCATTGCCGTAAACCTCATTCAAATGGCAACGCCTATACAAACTGTAACAGTTCAACGGCGGTTAAATCCGTCCCCTTTTTTTCAACCATCTTCAGAGTGTGAAGATCGCCACGTGTCACTTTGTGACCACGCACAGACAGGGCCTCCGGTGTTTGTGCACTCTGTAAGACATTCCAGCTCGCCATACACTTCATTGCTCCGCCGTGGCATCTATTGGCAGAGATCCCCGATCCGCAGCGCCCACTTCCCACACACATATCTGTCGGAAGCGACATCGGTTTCGATACCGCATGTTGAGTCAGCTCCAGTGGGCTATCAACGCGCTGTCGATTATGCTGTAGTCGTTTCCATTCACTTTTCCTACTTTCGGTTTTTTCAGCAATCATGCAGATGCATATCCAGCTGGGTTGCGGATAACTGAAATGACTCCACGACGGAACAATTTTGTGCCGTTCTCCCAGGGCATCGGAACTTCGCTTTTTTAAAGCTTTTTAACTGCTTTTGTGTCGCCCAGGGCCATCCTCAATAACACAATGGACTATGGCGGCATAATAATGATGATTCTCCTCAGTAGATTTCTCGTCACGAAGCCCACTGAGGTACAACAGTCTTTAGTGTGCCATGTATCTCGAAAAACGTGTAAATGGAGATCGCCGCAACGTACCTGCAACCGAACAACTGGCATCACTTTACCTGCTGCAGTGGCCATTGGCCAAGCATGCGTTCGACGAGGCACTTCTGTGAGTCGAGTTGAAGCCGCCGGCCCAGTCATTCAAATTGACGAATCCTTCGGATTGGTGCACACCGTGCTCCCCGCGAAAAAGACTGTTTAATCACAATCAGCCTGTTTACCTCACCGTTTATCTGATTCAGCCTTCCGTGTAGTAATGCGCACTAAGTCAGGATATAATTACGTCCGTCTAGATAGGTAAGTCATTTTGTAATTGCTGCTCATGTGTGCGGTGTGCAAATTTACACATCCTATCCTACCCATCTAAATCCTTGAATCGTGCTTGCTTGCACAAAGCAAACCAATGCCCTTGCACCTTGCGCCCGATAGCTAGAGCAATGCATCGAAACTTGTACCATTAGCCGCAAGGCCGCGCAGCAAGTTCAGAAAGGTTGTTATCGCCAGGCATGAGCATGTTACATCAAGAATATCCGCGACTGTACAATTCTCCACAGAGAAAACCCGCTGAGCGCTCAATGAGCGCTCTCTGCTCCTGTGATGGCACAACCTGCCCTGCTGACGGCCTAAGACCTCCAATCAGTTGGAGGCACTGAACGAAAAGAACACGCGTCAGGTCCCTTGGTGGCTACAATCTTCCAGGATAATGGAATGCGACCATCACGTCTCAGCCTGTCAGACGGAGGTCATTTGGTCAATAAAGAACGCCAAAATCTGCCCGCTCGATCCAATCTGCGCTGTGGCGGTGACAGAAAAATCGCCACAGCAATTACACGCACGAGTCCCTCCAATGCAAGAGTAATTGAAGTTCACCAAGGCCCGCAGTCCTTTCCTCACCTCGATCGAACCACTCTTCGTTCTTTTCGGCGCCGCTCCTAGTAGGAGCTTCAGAAAATCATACTAGGTCAGTTCCGTCGAACCGACTCTTATTCTTCTATATGACCGGCGGCCCACTTTTGCGGTTGCCTGCTGATCATCCACCAAAACTGCGCGCATTTTGATCCAAAAACGCAAAGAAATCGCAATGCCAAATAATTAATACCGACATTCAATCCAGACAATTGCCAAGCGCCCCCCCCTTTAGTGCATCGAGGATGGGTGCGCTGACAGCCAGCATGGAACGCCCGGCCTCGAGTTGAGACTCTAGGCGGCCCTGCACAGAATCTGCTATCTACAGCCACTTCAGAAATTCCGATAAATCCCCCTAGTGATGCCCACAGGTACACACCTGACCCTGCGCACAAAATTGCTCCAAAAGGCATTCTGCTTGGGAACAAACAATAAAGAAATTTTGTGGGCTCAAAATCCACGGGTGTGTTCCATCCGCCCGCGGTGGGAGGCGTCCGCCCATATGTGTTGAACGGCTCCCCAAAACTGCAAAACTGGCGTCACGGACAGCAGCAGATAATCCCGTCAGATCTTTCAGAATGGCTGATCTGCGCCGCTTGACCGCATCGCCATCACATATCCCTCTATCGCTATCAGAGCCATCCTCTGCTCTTCTAGATGGCAGCCAAGCTGCCAAGTCTCACATCGACTGCATGTAGTTGAGCGTCGATACCAATGAAATGTCCACTTGCCGCTCCGCGCCTCCGCGTCTCAGCATTCTTCGCAACCAGCAGCATTTTCAAACTCTCCTCAAATGGTGAAGCCAGCCCGCGCTGGCGCACCCCATGACCCTCTATTGGCGTCTCACATCCTCTCAGAGAGCGCACCGCATGGGGCTTGATCTGCCTTCCACCCCCGGGGGCGCGCCCTAAAACGCGATCTATCCCTTTCCGCACTGCGCCCACAACAATCCACACCGCGGCCCCCAGATTTGCGAGGGGTTCACCCAACCGCCGCGCCCCACAGCAGGCGCTGCAGCTTCCTGCTGATTTCGTTCAACGTCGGCACCATCCATCCACCTTCCATCCACCCGCCGTCCAGCAGGAACGACGCGCCCATCTCAACCTGCCCCTGCTTGTCGCACACTTCCTCCACGAACCCACCCCGAGCGACACCATGCCCGCCAAATCCCTGTTCCCCTCCAAGCGGCTTGGGCGCCTCTGGGACGCCCACCTCCCCCATAGGATTGGGAACCACCTTCTCAATCTGTGGTGCAGCCTCCGCCTGGCGCATTGGGGACTCCGCCTCCCAAATTGTGGACATCTGGTAGGCGGCGATGCGAGCCAAGCGCGCGTGGCCGCCCAGGGACACAAGGTCTATGCCGGGGTCGGCGTCCGCGGCGCCCGCCGGGCCGCGGTACACGCGCGTGCTGAGGACCTGGCCGTCGCCGGTGAAGATCTCCAGGGAGGAGGCGTCGAGGAAGATGCGCAGCTCCAGCATGGCGCCGGGCGCCCTGCGGATGGCAGCATTGTTCAACTTGTTTTTCCCCTTACTTTTCAGCTTCATCAGAAAATATCTATTCCCTCGATTTTCAGCTTGCCTAGAAAAATCGAATGATGAAGTTCGAATATCAAAATCGGAACAGACACGATGGCAGTCGGAAGCATCCTCGAAAACTGTTGTCGAGCAACTCGTTTCAGAAACGGACAGCCACATTCTAGTGCGCTGGAGACGAACTCTGGGGTGCTATTGCCAGTTGCACCGAGCGTCAGCATTTGCTATTCATCGCCTTCAATTTTGTGCAAAACGTGACGCAGTGGAATCACATTTATGCCGTGGCACTCAAACCCAGAAACGAACAAACATATCCTTTCGAAACTGCCGTGAGACTTCCCCACGCCCCAGCAGGAAACTGTGCATCTGGACCAGTATATCGTAGCCAAAAAGGCAGGAACAATTCACAGTTCGCCTTTACCTGCGGATGAGGCCGCCAGTCTCTCGGCACCCTGGGGAGAAGGGACGATTCGGATCGAAGGCAATGGTGTGCGTCACGACTTTCAGGTGAGAGCGCTTCCAGTCGTACATGATGACCGCGGTTCCGACTCCGTTGGCCCTCCACGACGGGATGACGATCCCTGCAGCAGGTCAGAAAAGGCGTGAAATACAACAGGCCATACGCACCACAATGCACTACAGCACGCAGGTCGTATCATGCAACTTACGTGTGGTGCACGACACAGTTTGCATGACTGAGCAATTCGATACGACAGCCACTAGCCACTGTATTGATTGCTGCTACTAAAGCCCGTTGCACAAATAGCAATCCCGCGTAACTTCTAGCCCACTCCCTCCTTTCCTCGCACTGACGAAATCGTCAATGACACAAAAACGAAGATTGCACGATTCAGGCACGGCCGAACGCTCGATGCTGTGGTGGACCACGGTCTTCAGCAGACTGGCTTGTGCATCCACAGGCCGAAAGCGCGGTGAGATGAACAAAGCGTTGCCAGTGCCCGCTCACCCACTGCCTTGGACATCTCCCTCAGCATGGAGATCTCTATGTAGAGGGATGGTCCTACGACAGCCGGCAGGGAAGTAGCCTCGTGGTGGATGGCAAAGTCGATCTCGTGCCAAAGGCATTCGCGGCGCAACGCTGCAAGCTCCGCCGCGGGCTCCTGAACGAGGCGGTCGCCCTGGGCGCACAGCGCAATGCGTTCATTATCTGCCATTACTAATGGCATGTTAAATTCCCTAGTCGCCATCCAGCCCGTTGGAAAACACAGCTGTTCGCACTGAAGGTTTTTATACTGTGAAGTGGTTCACAATTGGTCGTTCGACATAGTTTACCCCAAATTGATCATCCATGCACTTCTGATTGATCAACAGCTAGCGCCGCATTAGCACATTCAAAGTATGGCTTTGCCTGGGATGGGATATTTGCACAACATCGATACGCCCAAACATATATTCCTGCAAAAAAACGACAAAACGTTATTCGAAAACAGCGGTAAGTTTACTGGGTAGCGTTGAAAATGCACAGTTTTTCTAACCCTTCATGCAATGCACAAACTGCGGACATCAACACAACCATCTCCGTTGATCCAGGATGCTTACAATTGCCAAGCAGCGCGGCTTTTAGTTAGCAGCTATAGTAATCACGACAATATCATCGCCACAACAATAAACAGTGGTTACTAGCTCACAATTGCGAGCACCAGAGGAAACAGCGCGGAGCGTTGGTTCAGCGTTGTGAGAACGAGCGTACCTGAATATATAACACGCGTGGCACCGAAAGGCAACCAGCGTGGTTAAGATAAGCAGGTGGGTCTTTCTCCTGCAGCCAGCCCCACAGCACCCAGCGACCCTGCGAGAAGCAAAGGGACATCGTCACAAGGGATTGACCCTCCTTCACGTTCAGATGAGTGCTGCAATCAAATGAAGCGTTGCTGGTATTCTGCAGTTGAATACGACAGCAAACGAATTCAAGAATAAAATGTTTCAAATGCCATAGTAACAGACTGCATATATTTGTGTCTGGTATTTGTGCGAGTCTGACTAGGATTTGTCCATTCAAAACACTGTCAAACCATGCCCAAGCAGGCTCTGCCCCTGGCTTGCCAGCAGTTGCAAAAGAGCGAATCCTGCAAACCTTCTTACACTCCTTCGCACAGTAGTCCCCAAAGCGTCCTCGATGTCGGGAACAGGAAAAGCAACGTGTCAACTTGGAATTGTCGACTGCAATACGCGCGTGCATATCATGCGCACATATGATGGAAAAGTCTGCACTGCGGGGATCAACATGGTGGCGAATTTGCTGATCCCACAGACAGTCTTGCCTTTTCATGGCCTTCGCAAACGAAAGCCATTCGTTTCCGTCATCGCCCACCCAACCCATTCGTTTCCGTCATCGCCCACCCAACCGCGAAAATAGAAGCTAACCTGCGCATCCCGTGTGACGTTTGGCGCGTACACCACATCCCCAAGGTCCAGCAGGAATGGCCCCGACGCCTCTTCGATGTCGAACCTTCCGTCGGCGTAGGTGCCCAGCCAGCACAGCACGGGGTTGTCAGGCGCGTCGGGGGAGATGCACAGCAGGTGCTTCTGCAGGCACGTGTCCATGGACAGCGTGCTGGAAGTGCGCTTCATGCCCGGACCGGGCGTCCAGCCCTTGTCGTAGCCGTCTACGGATACCACGAAATTATGCTATTTAATGTGCGCGTCTGAAATGCATGCGCGTCAAAATACACGTATTGCTTCATGGAGAAACGAATAAACTATTCACAAAAAAAGGGAGATGACGGAAAAAAGTTCCAGCCTTCTTGCATAAATCAACTCCGTATTTGGTCTTCTTCCAATATGGCAATCACTTTGTGGTGGTTTGAGCTGTATTTAAAGTGGGCATTAAATGCGCCATTTCAACAATACTTTTCGGCGCCATTTTCTACCACCACATTTGCACAGGGTCCCATCGTATGACCTCGTCCGCGACATCCCGGCTACTGCGCGCCAGCCCTTCTCAGCCACACCGTCTCAGCCGTCCTCAATACTGAAACACATCGCTGGCAAATTGCGCAAGCTCTAGAAGCGGTGGTACTGTGGCCTGAGGTCGATTATTACCTGCCAGGCCGCACAGATGGGCTTCAACGGAATTGTTCTTTCGCAGGAGCGCCGAGTGCGCGTTGGGCCGCCTCATCGGGAGGGCGTTCAGCGGCACCAGCAGAGGGCACTCCCACATATTCCCTGGGCGCCCCTCGCACAAAAATCCGTCGTACGTCCACCCTACGAACAAAGCGTTAGAGAAGGAGGTCACCAAACAATTGGAAGATGAAATCTATGCTTGCACGCGTGCCTGTGCATGCACACCGATGGACACTCAAGTTGCCAACAGCCATTTAACAAATGTTCCGTTGCATTACGACTGACTATCTTTCATTATTGTAATGGCTTTTCTCACAAACAATGATCTTTGTTGCTCTGCGACGGTCAGCACAGAGAGTGTTTCGTGTATGCGGACTCTTGTACATTTCATTGTCGGCTGCAATATGGTAGCCAGAGAGATTCCACCGGGTGGTCCCTGATTGCTTTCGTCTTCTCTCACTGTCTCTTTGTGGAAAAGATAATAACCGATTTGACGTCCTTGCACTCAGGTAATCAGCAGACTTTCATTCATGATTGCTGCGTGTCAGTTTGCGTTGATATTCCTCCAAAACGCATTGCAATTTTACCTTCTGTCAATTCGTAGGATCTGTAGACCAGCACGGCGCCTCCTTGGCCGCGCACTCCAGATCCCACCAGCATAATCCATTCCTTTCCGTTGCCGCCTCGCTGAAATATGAACGGATCCCTGAATCCCTCAAGATCGTTCCTGGGCGGCAGCTCGATGACAGGCCTGTCGCACTTCCTCCAAGTCTTCAATTCTGGATCCCCTGCACAGAGAGCCGCGCTGCGAGCACGTCAAAAGCCGGCCCCCATCCCACCACTTCGAGCCTGGATTCCCAAGCTTCTGAGCCAAGCGCGGATCATAACCGATAATGTGGCCGCCACAGCAAAGCAAGGCTAGGGCGCAATTCGGCATTGCACACCAGTGCTGAACAAAGTTTTGGGGGTGCCAACGGCGCTTCGATTTTAGCACCAGTTGATACCATCACAATGACGCAAATGCAAATGACGGCGAGGGCGCCAATTTATGGAAATGGCAGCGCAGTTGGCATCCCCAAAAAGAATGGTGCTTTCCGCCAGTGGCCATCACAACTCGACGCCGCTGATCCCCCCACCTGGGTCGGCGACCGCCGCGAGCTGGCTCTCAATGAACTGCAGCTTCAGGTCGCGCGCCTCCGGCGGCAGCTCCTCCGGCCCGTGGCCCTCCCTCGGCCACATCTTGTTCCTCATCCGCACGCCGGTGTACAGCATCACGGGCGAGCCGTCGGCGTCGACCGTCACGCAGCCGCTGAAGCATCCCGCCGCGTCATAATGTCCCGGGGTGGGCACGATGGCCTGCGGCGCGCGGCGCCATGTGGCGAGGTCTTCGCTGACGACGTGGCCCCACTCGATGCCGAAGGACCAGTCCTTGCCGGCGGGGCACTGCTGGTAGAACCTGTGGGTGGCGGGGAGGCGTCAGAACGCAGAAGGAATGTGGGGAGAAATTTCCGTTCTTCAAGAAGACAACATGGACGGAAGGACGGGGCTAGAGGAAAGGACGACCAAAAAGGCTGAGTGCGGGGACACTTGCCTGGAGGAATGCGCCTGCCTGCTCGCAATGTACAGAGGCCAATTTGGGGACCAAGATGCACACTTTTATGCGCTGCTGTCGACGACGCTGCACTCAGTTTTGCGGGCGCATGCATCGAAGCACGGCTACTTTCGCGGGTGCAAGCTGATTGTGTTGCTCGCCCGACCCCTTCAGCCCTCGAAAGGCGTTGAAACCACAGCAGCAACGGATGCGATACAAATTGAAATAAATTGACACCCTTGCGTCATTGTTCGCGTCTTTTCGAGACTCGCCAATGGGAACGGTGACTGTGTTGTGTCTATTCGTAACTATGCTCGTGGCGTCGATGGAGAAATGGGGGCCTTTCCCAATCAACATGCGGCGTCAATTTGGCGGCCATGTACGCTGCTGTACAAGGACCGTCCACATCACGCCAATACGGCTGCACATCAGTACAGTACGCAGTCGATCATGTGCCACGTGCTTTTGTCAACGACGGCCGCCACCCCTGCCCACAGGGGGGCGCTGTGATCAATCACGGCCAGGCCGATGGGATTGCGTGACGTGGCACTGGGGCAGTCACAGACGCTCTGCAGCCTACTTGTGTCCACAAAGTTAGCCAGCACCCAACGCTTGGACTATCAACACAAGCCCCCCCCGGCCCCAAACGAAAAACACGTGCCCAGAGAATGCCCGCCAGCGCCCGCTCAACCCAGGGCACTGATTCGGTTCGATCAGTAGATTCCACGCCCAGTCGCTGCATCGCAAAGTAACGATTGGGATCGCGCCCGCCCCGCCCTTATGTAAGACCTCACACCGCCCACGTGTCTTCCAAAGGCTCACCCCCTCCCAAGGGGCCCAGGGCGAAACGCCCCATGTCTGCGGTCACCCCCCCACAGCACGCCCGTTGCGCGCTCCGAAAGGCAGTCCCGCGCAGCCAAACGACACGCCAAAAGGACCCCAAAGCCCAACTTCGGCATCAATCAACTGCGGGACGCTCCGATGATCGCCGATCCCGGCCGGCGCTGCCGTCCGACGAAGTCGCCGATGCAGCCCGGGCAACCACAGGCCGGAGTCGATTGGCGAGCGCGGCGCGCCCAGAAAATTGTGTGCGGCAGCATGGCCAGATTCGCGGCACACATTGCGCCGATCGTGCGGCGACGCGGCGACGTACATCGCGTCGGGACGCGTCGGGTCCCTCAAAGGCTCTCTGGTCTCAGCCCCCGGCTGGGCCCCTCGGGGGGCCGCGCAGGGAAAGGTAACATACAACTCCTCCCAGGGGCGCAAACAAGCCCCCGCGGAAACCTCAAACTTGATTTGATCGCCGCAGCAGGGCCGATCCGCCAGATCAAGAACCTGTACGAGCGTCCCGCGGCCCAGCCACTCCGCCCCGCACTCTCCAGCGGGGGGACCGATCAAACCGCTGCAGCCCGCAGACCCGCGCAGCAATTCGCCCACGCGCTCCAGTCGGAGCTCTGAGAATCGCAACAGGAGAGAATCGGCCACCGCCGAGGAAGAGCAACGCCACGAGCGGCAGTTTCTCACAGCCAATCGTCGGGACTCAGGCCCGCGCACAAGGGCACATCCAAAACCAATCGGGCTTGAGAATCGCATCACACTCACAGGTGCCAGACGCCCTCGTGGCAGATGGGCCCGTTGGGGTCGTTCATCCAGTTCCGCTCTGGCGCCACGTGGTAGCACGGCTGCATGCCCCGCACGCCCGCCCACGCTGCATTCTCCCGGTCCATCGCCCGCGGCAGGCGCTCGTCGGTGGGCCGGCGCCCGGCGGCGCCCCTCAAAATTCAAAACTGGGCGCGGCGACGGGAGGGAGGCGGGGGCCCTGGGGATTCTCGGCTGGCTGTGCGTTTCGGAGGCGCTCTTGGGGAGCGGCCTGATTGGTGAGCCCTTCAGTTGGACTGGCCATCTCTGGGCGGAGGCGTCATGTCAAGGGGGGGGGGGACCTCCAGGGACGTCATGGGGAATGTGCGCCTTCGGCGTTGCGAAGCTCAGGCTCGGAATTCGGGGACGAAGTACCGGACGGCGCGGCGAATGGAATGCACTACGGTAGTTAGCGACTGTGGCTGTGCGGGGCCTGACGTGCGGCTGACTCGGCTTCCCCCTGCTGCCCTGTGGCTGGCGGCCGGGTTGGGAGCGGCCGTCTTGGGAAGCAGGGATGGGCGAACCTGGGGACGGGGCGCCTGGAAGCTGAACAGAAGGCAGTTGGCGGTGCAGGTGTGTGCAGCGCATGATGGCGTAATGCTTTGCGGGTTCGGGATGCTTGGTAGCTGAAGCATGACTAAATTTCCAATGTCTGTGCTGTAGAATTGGGGCGCCAATGGGAAATTCGCCCCCACAGATCATATCACTGATATGCCACATCCCGCACTGGCCGTGGGACGGGGACAGCATTGTTGGAAAGCCCTACATTTTAAGGGGATGACGAAGGCAAGTGGTTCAGCCAGCCACTTCCACGCTCACTACGGGAAGGCCCTACGCCTATATTCTCTTCAAAGCCGTCCGTTTCGAATTCACATTTCAGTCATTGCTGCATTTTCAAATGGAAGTCATGAAAATCATGAAATTCATGCGTCCTGACGCATTGTGCTAAACTATTAAGCAAGAAGAGAGATTTGGAAGCCACAAAGCTAGTGGCACTAACTACATGTAAGCACAACTGCTAGAAGCCTATTGTAAAGAAGACGGAACGCCGGCAGAAAGAACCACAGAATCTGTGAAAAAAAAATTTCAGGTTAAACTGACAAGGGAGATATGGGCCTTTAGATCTCTTGATTGCCGTCGACCACCCTTAGAAGATGAAGTATTTTCCGGTTAAACATGCAAGATATGAAGCCGTTTTGATGCACGGTGCAACACTAATTGGTGTTGTATATGTATTACGTAATATTGCAAAATATGATACATGTGCTCATTTGCCCTGAGGTATTTCTGTTTGGAACACGCAAACGTGGGGGTTGAAATGAAAAGTTCTCAATCGATCATTCCATCAAACAGTAAATGCAACTGAACAATTGATTCGTGTGTCCGAGCTGTCCTGATTGGGCGTCACAAGCTGCGGCCACATCTCAAAATATATATGTTTCACTAGGAAAAAAAGGGCGAAATAACACTTTTGCGAACACACATAGAACACATTTCATCAAAGTTCTGCACGCTAAGAACACAAAAATAACACAAACCCGTAAACTTTGTACACGTTTGGACACGTGCTATTTGGCCCTTTTTTCCCTAGTGTTTTGAAGATCACTCTGCTTGATCATGCTGCTTGATCAGCGTGCGGTCTTTGATGTGGGAAGATGCGGAGGAATATGCGCCATTATGATGGCAGTGGCGGCCTCGCTAGAAGACCCCGATAAGCCAATTGGGTACACTGCCGCCATCACTATTGAGTGTTGACAGGAATAACGTCAAGAGCATGACATCATTGTGAAGCCTTCTGCGGCCTTCGATATCTTGATTCTGCGGGTCTTTGAACATACGCAGAAAGGTTTTGATGGGATTGTTGTAGTTGCCAACTCTCACATGTGCCAATTTGGGTTGCGGCGGATCGGTCAATAGACATTTTGAAGCATCCTCCCACACCTAGGGTAACCAATTCCTCCAATTTCCGCACATGGACGTCTCACCTACGCTCCAAGTCTGCCTGATTACCATCAGTAAGAAGATTTCACATACCAGGTATCGGGAGCCTCTCTTTTTGGGATGAAATACCACTAATTGGTACTGTCGAGCAGGATACTTTGCGCATGCTAATGTGTTGGTGTTGTCCCATTCCAAATCTTCCCGTCCATGGAAGCTGCAGGACGATTCAGGAATGTGTAAAGGAGCCGCATGGCTGGAATTCTCACAACACTCGCAGCTCTCACCGTATGCAGCTTCAGTATCATCACATTTGATACCCAGGTCTGTCCTTGCATTTCCCTGCTCTGCAAACGTGAGCATCGAAGGGTTGAACACATACAAGAGCCAAATATCTGTGCCGCAGTGTAGCAAACTTGGACAATAAAGTCGACCACACGATTCTTGACATTACACAGCTGGTCTCAAGGACACCCCTCTCTTTGAGTACCCCAAAAGGCCGCGGTGACGCCTGGAAAATTATCAGCCCTGCCCAAAGGTCGGCTCGAAGTCCCTTTCCATTAAGCTCATTCTTTGCTGCGCAAACACTAAACCTTTACCGGTACTTTCGTGCAAAATATATTTTGCGTTTTTAGGCGCACAAACGCGTGAACATGGTCCCTGTGTAAGCAAAGCCAGTGCACACCGACTCAGGGAGCCCGGGAACTGGCAGTCAGATGCGCTAAGCAAAATGCGGACGACCGCTTGTTAGACGACGTCGTTGCTCACGCCGAGGACGACGTGCATGTTGTGTTGCGGCTGCTCGGGGAAAGGGGGGTGGACAAGCGGGTGGACGCACCTGGACATTATTTGCAAATTCACCTGTAACCTGGGTCTGTCGCCAAGCCGTGAAAATGCATAACTGTGGCCGCAAAAACCATAGGTATTCTTTGTTAACGCGTTTGTACGTGTAATAATGTAAAAATGGTTCAGTAAACGTAAATGACAGGCCTGATTTCCATGAACAACGTTGCCAAGCTCCACATTTTTCCGCTGTAAATGGGTACGCTACTCAAGTGGCTATGATTCCCGTTATGAACGGCTGCAGAAAAATTGGTGATGTGTGTATTGGCCAGTCCATTGAGCTTTGGGCTGATGTTGCTTTCCATAGGTTTCATGCTGTCATAACACCTGTAACTACAGGTGACGAAGAGTTTGCGGATCTGCTCTCCACCAGATGGTCGCCACGACATCCACACAAAAAGTGTTTTTTCAAATCTTGCGGCCTGCGCACTAGGGGCACAAAATCCGATTTTCTGTACTGATACTCCTTTCAAGTTGTGGTCCTCTTTATCTGCCGCATCACCACTAACACTGGCAAATACCATTGGGGTACCGCCTTGCCAATGTCAATTGAGATAAAAATTTGAAAATAATGAAGCCATCACATTGACTGCAATGACTACAAAACAGCTGTGATGACATCAACTGGTGTCTAATGGCATCGCCGTGCGCTTCATCATAATGCCATTTTCCACTTGAGCAACCGATACGTCCTTTCTCTGACAGGCATGCCGCGTTTGAGAGAACTTTACCTGTTAGGGTAATCAGGAACTGCAGTGAAGGGAAAGAATGCAGTATAAACCAGGAGAGCAACAGAATGCTTGGCAAATTCACAGAATTATCTCCCATTTGATTCAGTATTGGGGAAGCGATCCACTGCTTGTCATTCCACATGACTCGCAGGAATTGCTGTCGCTAGGTTTCATCGGATGCTGCTGATCAATAATAAAACCAGTTTGATTGGAAGCTCTAAACTCAAGCATCAATTGTGCACCCGGTACACGCCCAGTAAGGAAGTATTAAAGGCCTTCTCCGGATGACCCACGTCTGGCAAATGTGGCGTAGGAATGAAGGGACCCATGCATAATGTAGTTATTTGACACAGGATCCTTAGAATAAAGGTTCGTTTCGGATGCCTCACAAGTTTCTTCCAACATACTGCGCAAGCCGCTGCACAGTATACTGTGCAAGTCGCTGTACAACAGCGCTTGTGTTTTGCCAAGGCAAATTCATACACCAGTACATTTGGCACCGGTGTTGCACACACCATTCGCTTGTCAGTTCACAGCCTCCCACGTCAAGGCAACCATTGTTCGATGATACTTGAAATATACTTGAAGTAGCCTGCAGTTCAAGGCAAATATGGACGGGGCATAAGAAATTGCATTGCACGTGCCTGAGTGAAATTGATAGGAATCAAATCCTAAACTATACTGTAACTTATCGTCCGAACGCACTGAAGTGCACAAACGCATTTTGTTCCGGTCTCCCTCGTGAGTAGCTGTGGCTTTGTGGCAGGCTTTGTGTGGAGGCACCCAGAGCTCCCTGTGAGCCGAAGATGGCTGCCGACTAGCTGTGCTCAATGTTGGGGGCCACTTGAACTCCTTTGGTCCTCCTTCAATCTGCCTGGCTGCATCGATGTCCTGCGGCCCCAAGGTGCCCACGGGCGCCACCGCAATCGGAGAAATGTTGTTCAGAAACGAAGGGAACCGATCGCTCAGCTGCTTCGGCCCAAGCCCAATCTTCAGAAGACAGCTTGTTTGGGTGCTGAAAATCAACTTGCCTTCCCACTGATAAGCGTTTGGTAGGAATCGGGCGCTGGGGTTTGCAGGGGCACATGTTGTGGCTACCGTGCGTCACCACCCCATTTGCAGGGATGCCTCGTTCACCTTCGGGATGCTGTGTTGCGTGTAGAGCTCTGCCTGGTGTCCTCTCCAAAGCCGAGAAAATGGTGTGGGAGTTTCATTGCTGTGTAATTATGTATCTTTCTTTGGGCAAAGAGATGTCATTGCAATTGCTAATCCCGAAGTGGTTTTCTATCGCTAAGGAGGGGTTGCATCGATTTCCTATTACGTTATATTATGATAAACGTATATCCCATCGAATGCAGCCAAACACATTGCGAAAGCAATCATGATGGAGCAGCATTCTTGTCTTGTTAATGTGCTCAATGTCTTGTACGCATTGCGCCAGGCCGTTGCGTTATGGTGCATTCCATTGGAGCTATTGGAGCCCTTGTGCCGGCAGAGGCCATCAAGTCAATAAGTTTCTGTGGCATTGTAAGCGTATGGGCCAGCGTCAATGAGTGATTGGTGGTGCGAAGGTGAGA